AAAAAAAAAAAAAAAAAAAAAAAAAAAAAAAAAAAAAAAAAAAAAAAAGAAGGGGGTAAGACGCTATGCTTGTAATGGTTGTTGGAAGGATGGTAGTTACGATAATGATAATGTTTAGAAAATATATTTAATTAAGGAAAAGCAAGATTGATTGAGGTTATGAATGAAGATTAGGTGGAACTCAAATTCCAAGGTAAAGGAAAAGAAGTAGTTTAGGGTTTAATAATGGGGAAGGGCACGTAATGGATGGAGAGAGCAAATATGATTACATTCACATGCATGCATCACTCTTCCTGCTATTTATTAGGTATCAAACTCCACATTTATTTCATCCCCACGCAACAATCATGCCCTTCAAAATTATAAAAAAGAAAAAACTATATTTGCGTATAAATGTTAGACAACAAAACGCAACAGTAAAGGCCCATTTCTCCACTATCCCAACCCTAAACTAATATATGGGCCTGAACCCGAAACTCAACCCGCCCAAACTCACCCCATTATTTATTTATTCATTTCTGCTCTCTTTTTTATATACTTGGTTCTTACACACATATGTGCGTGCATGCATATAAATTATTACTTTTAATCTTTATTTAAACTAAATTTCCAAATTTGGTAAAATATTCATAATATTATAATTAGAAATTTAACGAAAAGTACTCAACTTTAGAAATATGTCGAACAAATTATGGGATAGGTAAAAATGTTAGGAAACACCTTCCGCGATCATATTGTTCACTTTGAGTATGTAAATAAATAAATAGAGTAAATAGAAGGAATATTTGAAGGAAGAAACCAATAAATGTAAATAATAAAAAAATCAAGAAAATGTATGTATAAAGAGATATTGATAAAAGAGGGTAGGGTGGCATAAAAAGTGAATAAGAGACAGGTACGAAATGAGAGGTTAGTGAGAGATCATAAACGTTTTACCTAGCTAGGGAGCATTATTTAGCATTGGTAGTAAGCAAAGTTTGAAGAGGGTAGTATAAACGTTTTACGTAGAAAGACGATATAATCATTTGTAAAAGGATTTTCGGTGGAATGAAAAAAGCATTGGGAAGCATAACTTAATAAAAGTGGGGTGGCCAAAGGGAAGGTAGGGTAGAAGAGGAAATGCTTAGTTGGAGGGCATGATACATAAATGATTGTCCGAGGGGAGCTACCCTCCATACACATATGGATGAATGAATGGATATGGGATTTGGAGTGAAATGGATATTAAACTTGAGAGAAAAAGGCATTGTCGATGGTTAAGGGAGTTGGGACAGTACCTAGGCAGCGATGTGTCTGTGTCTCATTGCCATTGCCTCAACTCTCCGCCACTTCCCCCAACGCTACTTCCATTTGTTTCGATTCTGTACAAATACATAAACATAAAATGGCTTTGAAATTTGAAGCTAACCCAGCATCTCTGCCGGTGACGACAAAGGCATACCAACAATTTCCCCCACTTCCTCCCCTTTCTTGTGGGTCCAAAATGTCTCCTACTTTACCCCTACGTTCTGCTCCTCTTCCATTCCACGTGTTCTAATGCTACTGGTTCGCTCAGATAAATCACTTTTTATAGATACTGAACTTAATCGATTGCTCAAAAACGTGGAGATGGCCGAGTTGGTCTAAGGCGCCAGATTAAGGTTCTGGTCCGAAAGGGCGTGGGTTCAAATCCCACTCTCCACACACTCTTCGATTAATGGTTTCTTTTAGTTAATTACTTGGGATATTTATTTTTGGGGGCTGTGATGGTTGACGTGTCAAGCGTGTGAGGCCACCAGCCAACGCAAAAAGAAAAAAAAAAGAAAAAGAAAAAGAAAAGAAAAGACGGGGGACCCACTGAATAAACGTTCCAAGTGGCAAGGTCAGTGAACCCACAATTACGGTCAGTGGTCAGCCTCACTGGGGGCGCCCATTCCCGGTGCGTGGTTTGTTGAGATAGAAAGTGGAGTGAGTGGGTCTTTTTTCTCTTTTGTACTCTGCCCGACATCTTGTTGCCCTACCAATAAAGCTCACCGTATTTCTTATCTCATTAACTCAACCGCCTCCCTAATTCTTCCCGATCTCTTATTTAAATAAACAAAAATCTTGCAACTCATTAAACGCACGTGGCGCCCTAATTATTATCCCCCACGCCCCCCCCCCCTCCGCCTCCATCTACACAATACCTAAAAATAAACTCAAAATTATTTATTAATATTATGATTAGAATATATGGGCTCAATAATCCAATTACGTGATCCGTTATTTCCCCCAAACGGAGTTCCTCCCACTCTTCCTAATTTCTCTGACATTTTCTTTTCTCTGTGACCATCATGCCATTCATTCTTGTCCTTATTTCCAGGAACCTCCCTACGTTACAAAATTTGTATCAATTGCAATTTTTTTCTCTTTTCAAAATAATTATGATATCAATTATTTGACATCTACCTAATCTTTCTTCTACTATCTATTCTCCTTTGATTAGGAAGGATTGACGTTGAATATGTATTCAAATCATTCAAAATAACCATTTTCTAATTTCATTTCTTTTAATATTTGCTTAATTATTTGATGAATTTGCATGTTTCTAATAATCACGGGATAATTATAGAGTATTAAATTGCAATCTTTTCACGGGGTTATATATATATGAAGCATGGTGGTGTTGTATGGGAATGAATGTAAACAACACATCCAGAATCATGGAAGAGAAACGGGATGGGTAAAACGGTAAATTCAGGAGCCAATTTGTTATATATATATATATATATATATATAGGTGCAAGTTTGTGGCACTTCATTCAGAGAGCCTGTTTCGATTGTACTCAAGAAACGAAAAAAGAGAAAAAAAAAAAAAAAGGAAAACCAATCTCCCTTTTTATTTGTATCTTCAGAAATGGAAGATGAAGATCAGAAGGAGTTGCAGCTCCTTCCGACGCCTCACACCATAGCGTCGTCGTCGTCGTCATCGCACATGTCGTCCCGCCCGTCCGCGTCGTCGATGAGGTTCCGGTCGGATCCGTATGAAGCGGGTCCAGGATCGCTGGACCTGCAGCTATCGATAAGCGTGAGGCCAATCCGGCCTACGGCGGAGTGCGTGTTCAAGTACGAGGAGGTGATGAAGCCGGAGGCGGCGAGCTGCGTGGAGGCGCTGAAGTGGCAGGCGGCGGAGCAAATAAGGCTGGCGGCGATGGAAAAGGCGTACGCGGAGAGAGTGAGAGAACTGACGAAGAGGGAGATAGAATTGGCGCAGACGGAATTCGGAAGGGCTCGACAGATGTGGGAGAGGGCGCGAGAAGAAGTGGAGAAGGCGGAGCGTATGAAAGAGAGAGCCACTCGGCAAATGGACTCTACGTGCATGGAGATCACTTGCCAATCTTGCAGGCAGAGGTTTCGGGCTTCTTAATTAAAATCATAATCATAATTTATCTCATTAATTACCCCCTTATTTTCTTCTCTTCTTCCTCATCCACTTATCATAGCTTAATTATTAAGCCTTATGCAGAGTTTGTTTCAACCCTCTCTCTGCCTGCCTGCCTGCCTGTGTCTTTCTTTCTTTCTTTCAATTAATCCTTTAAATTCACAAAAATACACACAAAATATGGGTTATTACTCGGATCGTCGTCGTCGTCGTCGTCATCATCATCATCTTCATCTTCATCAACAATCACACAATGAAAACAAAATTAAAAATTTGGAACTAAAATTCCAGAAAAAAGAAAAAAAAAAAAAGGGTTTTGTTTTGGGAATAAAGCTATTAATTTGGACATGGAGTATTTGTTTATGACATAATTTGGAGTTGTGATAGTGAAGATCGGCATGTATATATTTTATTAGATTGCCTTTTTTGTTTTTTTATTTTCTGGGAAATCTAGTTTATATTATCACAAATCACACCATCTGACTCATGTATACAAATAATTGAATTCCTGTTCCTGTCTCTTTAATTATTTTTTTAATATTCTTTCATATATATAAAAAGAAAAGAAGATTGTAACATTAATTTTGAGTTCCAATGAGTGGGAAGGTGTGGAGATGTATTTTGAGTAAAGAATGAGGCAACACTTTCCAACCACATACACATTGTTTGGATGAAAATGCATGCAATTAGGCGATTCACTCATTGTTTTGATTAATAGAATGTGTTGGTATAGTGAATATGGGTTAAGTAAGGAGAATAAGAAGGATAGATGAAGGTGGTAGAATAAGGGTTGTAATAGGGAGAGAAGATGCATTAAGTTAAGATGGATAAACAAAGATATAGAGAGGGAGAGAGATGAAAAGAAGGAAAGAGTCAAAGGTCAAAAGAGAAAATGTAAGAGAGAAAGATGTGGATGGAGAGAAAGGAAGAAAAAATGAATCAGAACAAAAAGTGAGAAATGGATAGGGAAGAAGAAGACAGGGAGATAGCTGTACCAATTTTGTTTGGAACCCCTTTAACCTTACCGCTCATCCTAACATCCCCACCACTATCGCTGTCTGCACCTCCACATTTCATTTCATCCTTCTAACCCTAACCCTAAACCCACCATACCACCCTTTCCTCCTCCTCCTTCTTCCGCCGTCCACACCGCCGCGATTGCCAATTCAGGTTTCTTTATTATTATTATTATTTGTTTTGATGGGCATGTGCAGAAAGGTAGATGAAATGATGAGGGCTTCCCCTCTCCCCCTTTTTTTTTTCTTTTTTTTTTTCTTTTTTTTTTCTTCTTTTGATTCGTTGATCAAAAGTCAAGTTTAGTTTTGAATTGTGATGGATGGGGTGTCTGTGAAGAAAAAAAATAAAAATGGTTAAAAAAGGCACACATTTTGTCAGACTCGCCATGATGCGGAGTAGTAAGAGTTATGTGCAAACATTTATACATCTTATTTCAAACTGTTTGTTAATGTGTATATATATATATATATATATATATATGAAAAGAAAGGAATATAGAGAGAGTTTGATTGATGATCTCCATGGAAGCAGGTGGTGAGAATGGGGAGGAGAGGAGCACCCAATTATTTTGACACAAACTCTCTTTCTCTCTCTCGAGGAGGGAGTGGGAAAAAGGAGGAGTAGGACATGGGTTGTCCAAACATCAAACTACTGATTCCATTATGACCAAACCTTAATATTTTTGTCCTTTCGTCTTGTCCATATATGCCTTCCAACTGATTCTCTTTCTCATAACACACTCCCTTGGGTTCATACATGAGTTAGCTTGTTTCAACCCACATTCTTCTGCATGTTTAACAAACTGATGCAAATTCATCTATAATTAACAGAGGAGCATTGATATGTATATAGAGAGAGAGATTCACAAGCGATGCAACTGTGGATGAGAAGATGCAAACTTTTTTTTTTTTTTTTTTAATTTTTTTATTTCCTTAGTTTCAGCCTTTTCGAGAAACATTTTCAGAAGCAGAAGTTCGTACGGTACAGCCAACAGTGATGAATCTGGGTTGGGTTGGGTTTGGTTGGACAACAATTATGGATTAAGAGATGCTTCCAAAATTAAACATCAAAATAATTTAACTGTCAGGGAAGGGGTTTTGTTTTTCTTTTTTTTTGTTTATAAAAAAAGTTGTCAGGGGCAGAGAAAGGATGTTGTGGGAGGGTTTGTTTGTTCATAAACCATGGGGGTGGTGGTGGTGGTGAAGGCGGTGAAGGTCAAGGATGACGGTGAATTTTCTAAATATGACAACCTTTTACCCTTCTCTTTCTAGGTAAGAGAGAGAGAGAGAGAGAGTGGTGAAAGATTTGATGGTGTTGTCGTATCAAAGCCCAATGAAGGGAAGGGAAGGGAAGGGAAGGGAAGGGAGGGGAAGAGAAAGGTAGCCTTCATTTGAAGCTAGAAAAGTTGAAAATGGGGTATAATGGGGAGTGGGACTCGGTTTTCCTCTCAAAGTCAAAGAACCTTTTAACACACTGTCTACCAGCCCTTTTCATTTGAATAATGGAATTCTAAACCTCTTTCTTCTCTCCCTCTTTCCTTCATGCTTACCTTTTTCTCTGTTGCACAATCTATACCAACCAAGACAACATCCTGACTCTAGCTTTACTTCATGGATGTAGTCTTTCTCTCTCTCTCTCTCTCTCTCTCTCATAAGCTGCTTCAACCTTGATCCATGTCCTGTTTTGTGAGGTCTTGTATCGGTTGGAGGATTACAAAACATTTCTCATAAGGGTGTGAATTGTGATGCTGATGGCGATACGTAATGGGCCATAAGGAGATAGTATCTGTTAGCGGTGGACTTGGACTGTTACACATGATATAAGAGCAAGAGGGCGGTGTGCTAGCGAGGATACTGGCTCCCAGAGAGGGTGGATTGTGAGATCCCACATCGGGTGGAGAGAGGAACGAAGTATTCCTTAGGTGTGGAAACCAACAAGACACTGGACGCGACTGACTTCCATGGGGTGGATTGTGAGATCCCACATCAGGTGAAGAGAGGAACAATATTCCTTATAAGAGTGTGGTAATCAGCAAGACACTGGTATGTGCTAGTGAGGACGCTAGCTCCCATGGGGTGAAACGAACCATTCTTTATAGGAGTGCGTAAACCCCCTTGTAAGAGTGTGGACATTGGGTGGAGAGAACGAAATATTTCTTATTAGGGTGTGGAAACCAGCAAGACATGGGCGGTATGCCAAGATGTTCTCCCAAGAGGGTGGATTGTGAGATTCCACGTCGGGTGGAGAGGGGAACGAAACATTCTTTATAAGAGTGAAAACCCTCCAGAGGGGAGTGGATTGTGAGATCTCACATTGGGTGGAGAAAGAAACGAAACATTTCTTATAAGATCACATTTGCTAATGGGACCCTTGTGTGTAAGAATAAGAATAAGGGTAGCATTAAGAGAACCCTTGTGTGTGTGTGTAAGAAAAATGCAGGAGTTTCTTACGAGTTTGCTACCATATAGCATTTGGCAACTGCAGTATTCCGTGGTTACAGCATTTGGCGACAATCTTTTATTGTATTGAATACCAAAATTCAAAACTAGGGTTCGGCAACAAAGCATAAATTAGGGAGAAGGAACTCTTACAACAACAACAACAACATTGTTTCTAAGACAAAGCGCAACAAGAAGAAGCTAACAAAACAAACTAAAATGAGACGGAACAATAATGTACATATGGGGGAGAGAACGTAATCTGGTGGCGTGACAAGGATGATCATATATTATTCATATTATTAGTACGAGCATCTTCCATCTCCCTCTGTGATCACATCTTTGAAAGCACCACCACTGGGAATCATCGGCAGCACATGTTCCTGATGTGGTACGATCACATCCAACAAGTAAGGCCCTTCCGTCTCCAGCATCTTCTTCATTGCCGCTCTTAACTCCGCCCTCTTCGTCACACGTGCCGCCTGGATCCCGCATCCCTCTGCAAACTTCAACATGTTGGGGAATATCTCAGATTCGTTTGATGGGTCTCCCAGGTATGTATGAGCTCTGTTGGCTTTGTAGAACCGATCCTCCCACTGCACAACCATGCCCAGATGCTGGTTGTTCAGCAGCAGGATCTTCACGGGAAGTTTCTCAACACTGATTGTTGCCAGTTCTTGGACATTCATCATGAAACTCCCATCCCCGTCGATGTCAACGACTATCGCGCCCGGATTTGCTACTGCTGCCCCCATTGCTGCAGGCAGTCCAAAGCCCATTGCACCTAACCCGCCAGAGGTTAACCACTGGCGTGGCTTCTTGTACTTGTAGAACTGAGCTGCCCACATCTGATGCTGCCCCACCCCTGTGCTTACGATGGCCTCGCCATTGGTTAGCTCATCAAGAACTTGAATTGCATACTGTGGAGGAATGGCCTCATCAAATGTCTTGAAAGTCAATGGATACTTTGATTTCTGCTCATTCAGCTCCTCTCTCCACGCAGAGAATTCAAAGTGAGGCTTCTCAACCTTCTCAAGTAAACAATTCATTCCCTGCAAGGCCAACTTCACATCGCCACAGACCGATACATGGGGCTGCTTGTTCTTCCCAATCTCGGCAGAATCGATATCGATATGAACAATCTTCGCACGGCTTGCAAATGCCTCAAGTTTCCCTGTCACACGGTCATCAAATCTCACTCCAAATGCAAGCAACAGGTCCGCTTTATCCACAGCATAGTTGGCATAAACTGTCCCGTGCATTCCCAGCATTTGCAGAGACAAGTCATCGGAGCAAGGAAAAGCCCCAAGACCCATCAGAGTGCTGGCCACTGGAATCCCGGTCAGCTCGACAAACCGCCGCAGCTCCTCTGACGAATTCAAACACCCTCCACCCACGTAAAGAACAGGCTTCTTAGATTCAGAGATCAATCGCACAATTTGTTCCAAATGAGAATCGATGGGAGGCTTAGGTAATCTAGACAAGTAACCAGGTAATTTCATGGGCTGATTCCAATTAGGAATCGCGAGCTGTTGCTGAACGTCTTTGGGAATATCAATAAGAACAGGACCAGGACGACCAGAAATTGCGAGAAAAAATGCCTCGCTCACAATCCTAGGAATGTCATCTACATCAAGAACCAGA